GAACAGTGCAATGTGAAGGAAGGCAGGAGCCTGCAGGGGAGGAGACTTGGTGCCCAGCTGCCAGAAAGCACAGATTTGACCCAAGCTATTTATATGTTGTAAAGTTATAAAATAAAGTGTTTCTTACTGTTTGTAACCCCTGGTACCGGTGTGTCCGTCTCCAGGCTCCTTGCCTTCTCCCCCTCCTCTTCCCCAGACATTAATAAAGTCTTTCATAGCACAGCTTGTGGAGAGCTAAGTGTGAACTGGACCAGGCAATGAAGGGCTAGCCAGGATAAGGCCAGAAGCTGGGACACCCCTTTGAGCCTAGGAAACTGGTTCCTGCCCTGAGATGACAGGCCTCCTGGGTAATGCCCTGCAGTCTGTTCCCATTGTCTCCAAGAACTGTAAGAGACAACAGGCCAGTGTGGTAAGCCATGCATGATAGTGGACAACAGGCCAGTGTGGTAAGCCATGCATGACAGTGACAGGGCTTTCCCCGTCTTCTCTGCCACTAGTTGGTGGAGGCAGTAGTACCTTATTTCAACCAACACAGCAGTTCACTACACATCACAGAACTCATTCAGCTTTATTTAGTGCTGGTTTTTGGTTCCCCAAAAGCTGCATGAGATAGTTCTGACCACTTGACTGGGGTCTCTTGGCTACTGGGCATTTACAGTCAGGATGCCTCTGACACATGGGGAAAGAGTAGAGGGAAAGGCTTGGGCATAGACTCCCAGGGGCCCTTCAACTAGGCCATCACCCCCAGGACCATGGTGGTGGTCTGGGCAGGGGTTCTTCTGGCTCATTACACCAACCAGGGGCCTAACTGCTGTGCAGCCAGAACTTGGATTGACTAAATTGCCTACTAAATGCCTGCCACTCAGCACTGCTCCTTGAATTGTGGCTGTGCTTGTACAGAAAAGGGCCCTTCCTGGAGCATCACCTAAGCTCTGAGAGTGTGCAAGGGCTCTGGGAGGAGACCCAGCACAATATTCACCTCCCATAGCTGGAGACATTTTTAACATTCAAGGGAGGATAGGAAAAAGGAGGGACCAGCCCTCTCTGCCCTTCCTCACTTTGCTGCTGGCTATAATCCTAGAAGAAAAGTGATAAATAGCTGAAACCTACTGACACAGACCCTACCTGGCGCCCACAGCCTTGGTAAACCCTTCCCCACTTAACTAGAACGGCTGGGTACAGAGTAGGCTTTCTGATGACCTGGAAAAAATATTTCAAGCACAAACCCTTGGGAAGGGTGGCTCCTGGGGCTTGGCTCTCATCCACCTGCCTCCAGGGCCAAGGTCTATGATGGTCCCAGGACTCGTCCTGAGCCAGCGTTGTGTGTGTGCTACAGCTGAGACCCACCAGCCAGCTCATCTCGAACTAGCTTCATTTTGGCATTTGAGATAGGACACTGGCCATACATGAGTTCAAAGCCTATAGACACTGAAGGAGCTGGGGTGACACCTGGCAGGGGAGGGGTATGCACCCTGCTATGGGACAACAGCTGCAGAGGACCATTTTGGGGGAAGGGGCACAAAGAAGTGGTGGCCTAGGGCTGAAGCACCAGGGAGTTTTCCTGGCTCAGCACCAGATTTCCCAGGGGCCTCCTTAATACTGAACATTAAAAATTGCACCCTGAGGAGCTCAGCCCACACTAGGCAAAGGTTCAGGCCCCAGCAAAAAGGGGTGGGGGCACTGCTGACAAGATGGGCACTATGGTTCTACAGTAACATACCCTTATACTACCTGTGTTGAAGATATCTGGGGAAAAACCCTATAATCCTAACACAGTGACACGATCCTGATGCCACCCCCTTTCCTGCTTCTCAGAGGGACGGAGGGAAGTACCCTTGGAAAAATCCCAGCATAAGCTTAGATCAACTCTGGAGAAAGGGTCAAAAGACCCCTGAGCAACATGCCCAGGAGCTGAGGAAGGCCTAGTCACACCCTCAGACAGACTGACAGGCGTCCTCTAGTGGACAGCTGTAGCATGCTGGTCTTACATGACTGACGGAAGGGTGGCCCAGGAAGCCAGCAACAAGCTCTGGAATGGCAGGTTCAGGCCCTCTGCCAGGCCCTGCCGCATGCCCAGGCCCCCACCCAGGCCCAGTGGCTGTTAACCTGAAACACAGTCTGAGAGCTGCCTATGTCTGTAAACAAAGCCCACATGGCCACCTGGGCCCAGGACAGACGTGGAGCCGCTGAACCACATGGCCAGAGGAAAGTCTTCCCAGGCTGCTGGCAGGTGACAAGTCAGTTTTAAATATCTGTTATCTCACAAAAGAAAAATACCCAAAAGAAAAAAACCTTAACAACAAGGTCTATGATGCTTCACATCCTTAAGGCGTTCGATGTCAAGTTCAGTGTCAGGAGCAGGAGGGGACTGTCGGGTTCAACCTGCCTGGAGTCCTAGGCGGAGTGCAATGGGATGACAAACTTGCAGCCAAAAGGTGAGTGATAGTTGATGCCCACCTCCTGAAACACCTGCTGGGGAATGCCAATGTCACACAGATAGACGCGGCCTGCATGGTCTCCCAGTGGCAGAGGCAGACCCAGTGCTAATGACCATTTGGCATCAATGCCCTGTTCAACTTCATGCACTGGTGGGTCTATGCTGAGTACTGGTGCCCGGTTCTGGTTGGCCCAGGCCACAGCTGCCTTATACCAGGGCTGGTCTCGCAGAAAGGCATTCTCAGGGCAATCCAGGCAATTGATCACCAAGTCCACGGGGCTGGTAGGCAGATCTGTAGGAAGAAATAGTCCAATCTTAAGAATTTCTATAAGCAGAGAGCAGCTGGGGCAGCGCCAGGCTGGGGCTGGAGACTGGGGCCACAGCAGCCAGATGGAGGACTGTCCTCATACACTGCCAGGTGGAAGCACTGTCCTGCTGGGGTGTGCAGAGCTGCTCAGACCTGAGCCTCTCCTTTGCCTTTGTCTATGCTTCCTAACTGGGTGCATGTGAGTTCTGGAAAGGCTGAGTTCACTCTGAGTCAGCCTGGAGAAGAAAATTTCGTACAGAGCCAGCCAGGCAGGTATAGGACTTGACTCCTGTTTATTGGTTGGCCAAAGAGGTGTGAACAGGTGAGCAGGCTTGTTCATTTTATCCAGGCTTGCCTCCTATACTCGAGCCAGCTTGCCCTCTTCTCTGGCCTGCCCCTTATCTCACTGGAATGGGGATTCGACTCAGCCCCATTTTCATATTAAGGAGGAAATCTATCACCTTTCCCCCTAGGCATTTTAAAGAGCTTCCCGGCAGCTACAACAGGCCTGTAGGACAGTCTAATAACACTGTCTCAAACAAGTGTGTAAGTCTTGGACCAACCTTAAAAGGTTACACAGAAAGTAAAAGAAACCAGACCAAACTCAAAAACCATCATCTAACTTGCCTCCTGGGGTACTTGGGGTGGGGAAGCACTAGGGTAACCAGAAAAGAACTGCCTGCAAGAGCTGTGTCATGTTACAGAGTCCAAGAAAGGGAATGCCCAGCAGGCCTTCCTTGCCAGTTCTCCATCTAAAGTGCTGATACTTAAGAGATGCATGATTCTCCTACTTAAAACATGACACCAGAAGTGCCCTGTGGACCACAAGGTTCAAGAGTGAAGGGCATTTTATTTTGAAGTGTCTTAGTTCAGGGCTCTGCCCCCAATTAGCCATCTGACCTCTGGCAAGGCTCATTCTCTGGGCCATATCTGTTCTAATTTTTTTCCTTTAAGACACCAGACCTTAGCACCATCACTTCATATGAAATGAAGATTTTCACAATGCTCAATCTTAGCAGTCAAATCTCAGCCTGCATCTGAACTAATGTGGAATGGTGTGTAATAAAGCTGCTCACAGCCTCCTCTCAGGAACCACCCCCTCTCCTCTTCCCCCCTCCTCCTCCACCCTTAAGCTGGATCCTCCTCAGCTCTCTGACTTCTAATCAAAGAGCTAGCTCAGTCTTTGGACTTAACTATTCTTTTTTCCTAGGCTACCCTAATCAATCTCATTGTTTAAATAGACCTGTATACTCGTAACTTCAGGTTGGAGCTTCCCTTCCAATCACATATCCCACAGCATAATGGACATTTCCACCTGCATATCCAATATTGGTGTTACTGTACGTAAATGAGTTTGTTTCAATTTGAACTGTTCCACAGGGGTTATTAGCTGTAATCTTCAAGGAATCAGACTGCCAGGTCGTTCTCCCACAGAGCTGCTGGATGGGTTCAAACGGCCAACCTCTTGGTTAGCACTGAGCACTTAACGACTGCACCACTTGGGATCCTTGGGCACTTAAACTGAGCCTCTGCTTTTCTTTCCCAAACTTTTTCCTTTCTCTGCTTTTCCTATCTTTAGGAACAATATCTTCACTCTCCTAGTTTCTTAGGCCCAAATCCTGAAGAAGCCTTTAACTTTTCTCATTATCTCATCCTCTACATCCAGTATGTTGAATACATCTTCAAAACTACTTTGATCAACAACACCAGCACCTTGCTTTTTAGTCTCGCTGACTATCACAATGTTGTTGTTTAGTGCCATCGAGATGGAACTGACTCATAGCTGACCCTCCAGCGGGTTTTCAGAGGCAGTTAACTGCACGGGAGGAGACTGTCCATTCTTCTGCAAAGCAGCTGGTGGATTCAAACTGTGTTCCTTCAGAATTGCAGCACAGCTTCTTACCACTAGGCCACCAGAGTCTCTTAATTCTTCCCTTGGTACTTGAAGTATCCAGAGCAATCCTTTCAAACCTGATTTGGATCGTGGCATCTCTCTGCTTATTCTTCTGGTGTCTCTCCTCCCTACTCTTGTAGTACGCTGCAAGGCCCTTCATGACTGAACCCTGAAGTGCCTTTCCAGCCACATTTCTTACTTCCCAATCCACTGTCCAGTATATGTCTTGCTTTATTTTTCCTCTATACTACACATTACCATCTGAACTGACACAAATGCTATTTAGTGGTCCATCTGTCTTTGCTAACTCGAACATAAGCTCCATAGGGGCATGGATTTTTAAATCTACTGTCCTATCTCCTGGTCTAAGGACAGGTTTCGCATAAGCAAGATCAAGTGTTTTGGGATTCCCATTCTTCTCAGAGTTAGCCACAGTTTGTTATGATCCACACAGTCAAATGCCTTTGCATAGAACAGAACAAGGACATACTGCATGGTTCAAAACTAGGAAGGGTGTACACTAGGGATTTGTCTTATCTTCCTACCTTTTCAATCTGTATTCAGAGCAGATTATCCGGGAGGCTGGGCTCTATGAGGAGGAATATGGAATCAGGATTGGAGGAAGACTCATCAACAATCTGCGTTAGGCAGATGAAACAACCCTGCTTGCTGAAACTGAGAACCTGAAACATTTGCTGCAGAAGGTCAAGGACTGCAGCCTTCAATATGGATTGAAGCTCAAAATCAAGAAAACAAAGATCCTCACCACTGGGCCGAATGGCAGCATCATGATGGATGGTGAACAGATTGAGATTGTTCACAGCTTTAGTTTGCTTGGTTCCACAATCAACACTCTTGGCACCAGTGGCCAGGAAATTAAAAGATGCATTGTGATGGGAAAGTCTGCTGTTAAGAGTCTTCTCCAATGTACTGAAGAGCAATGATGTCAGTCTGGAGACTAAGATGCTTCTGATACAGGCCATGGTCTTTGCAATCACTTACTATGCATCAGAGAGCTGGATAATGACTAGGGATGATAGAAGGAGAATTGATGCCTTTGAGCTGTGGTGCTGGAGGAGTATTGAATATACCATGGACTGTTAAGAGAACGAACAGGTTCAACCTGGAGAAAGTTAAACCTGTTTGCTCCTTGGAGGCAAGGATTCTGAAACTTTGTCTGACATACTTTGGTTGGACATGTTGCAAGGAGGGACGAGAAGGACATCATGCTTGGGAGGGTAGAGGGGCAGCATAGGAGAGGAAGAACCTTGATGAGATGAATTAATTCAGTGACTGGGGTAATGGGGGTAGGTGTGTCAGAGACAGTAAGATTGGCACAGGATAGAGCAGGGTTTAGGGATGTTGTATATAGGGTCACTATGAGTCACAGATGACTCAATGGCACATAACAACAATTGTCATATCTCCAGTACCAGGAACAATGCTCCGTAAATATTTGTGCCATGACTGTATTTCCAGCTCTTCATCTGAGAAACAGGGAAAAGAAATGAGAGTGAAGGTTGAGAAGCAGGCCGACACCTAGGGAATTTCTGGCTAAGTTTTAACATTGTTTATAGTGCTTTCCACCAAATGCCACTGGGTGGCACCACCAGACTATCAAACTATAGAGGAGGGCGAAGGTTTGTGCTTACCTTTGAGACTAGAAACTTGTTGGCCTTGGGTCTTGCTGAAGAGAGAGAGCTCATTAGTGATGGACTCTAGCATCTTAACAAAGTTGGGCAGGAACAGGATAACCTGGACGTCATGGTTGGCGAGATGCCTTCCACAGCTGATACCCTGAGCCCCCTTCACATGGGGCCCACATAGCAGAGCCACTGTAGGCCTCTGGTGAACATTTTTGGGATTCAACCTGGAATAGAAGGTATTGAAGAGCATCATCAGTGAAAGATTTGATAATCCTGGCACATTATTCCAGACAAGTACATGAAGGCTTACTGCTCAGCTGGCTTAGTGGCAAGGAATTACTGTTAACACAAAGGTATGTGGTTTGAATCCACCAGCCAGTGGATTCAAATCTTGGGAATTAAGTGTGATTTACTGCTTTTGAAAATCCACTGGAGGGGAGGCTATGGGTTGGTTTTGACTTGAGCTTGTTGTTCAAGTTCGGGTTCCTCCCAACCTCTCCTGTTCACCATGCAGGCAAGTTTATACAGGGTCTTATTCCTGCACAGCCTCACACTCCAGCACCCCTCCTCCTGCTGGTTCAGCTCTACTCCAGCTAGCCTTCTTTGGGACCTTTTCTCCTGTGCTCAAATATTCTGCTCCCTGCCCTCAAAGCCCTTTTTCTTTAACCCATCTTTTCTTTGAGATTTAGTTCAAGATTCACTTTTCATTAGTAAAAAGCCTATCCTGATTACTCAGTCCCTTTTAATTTTTTCCTTTTCTCAACTTCCCAAACTAAAGCTGCTACAAAAGAGGATACAGAGAGCTCTGGTGGCCTAGTTGTAAGAAGCTACTGTGTAATCTCAAAGATGCAGTTTACATCCACTAGCTGCAGTCTCCACCCGTGTGACTCTCTGAAAACCCACCAGAGGTGCAGCTATGGGTCACCTCTGACTTGAGAGCACACAGCAACAACAACAAGGATAATTCTAAATTGTTCTCAATCAGTTGTTGGTCTACGTTTTCTCTACCAAGCTGTAAGTAAGCCAAGTATGAGTGATAATGTAAATACTGATAGTACCTACTTCATAGGACGCTGTGTGAATTAATGGAACAGAAACAAGAAGGGTCAGCATATGTCCTGGAGCTGTGTCCAGCTAGCAGCAGTACACTGTGCCCAGTGGGGCAGGAAGCTGGAGAGACAGACAGCTAGAAATGGACCTTATGTCCTGCTTAGGGACAAAAGGAGTATCGCTTCTCGTCACTCAAAAGCAAGGATATGGCAGATGCTGCCCTATCAAGAAAAGCCGCATAACTCTTTAACCCCAACAAATTTCAGGGAAATTTAACAATGTACTCTATCTACACCAAACTATTGTGAGGCATGTCCTGCACTTCTTGAGCCTTCTTTTAGCTTATTGAGTTTATCTTAAGCGCCTTTATTTCCTTCTTATGAGGAACTTATGAGGCTCAATTTGAATACAGTGGTGAAAAACAGAGTAGAACATAGCATGGTGCTTGATATACATTAACTTCAAGATTACTGACTGGGTTTGATTTCTCAGAGGAAATCCAACAACTGCTGTGAAGAACAAGAGAAGACTCTTCTGAGAGATCAGGAAATGAGAGAAACAGGCACAAGGTCAGCCCCTAGAAGCCGGAGGAATGGGAGGGACACTGAGTTCCTGCCCAAGAACTGGTTTTCTGGAAAGCCTCTTAATGGCCTCAAATATCACCAGGAAGGTTTACTGCAGGTGCAGCCCCTGGTGTCTGATCTGGGTGGGGTGCAGCCTAATGCTCCTTCAGAGAGCACTCTTTACTACTTCCTCCTTTGGGAGTCTCATTCCAAGAAGTTAGGGAGTAAGCCCAGGGGAGTGCTGCCAAGTTGCCTCCAATTCAAGCAATCCCAGGTACAAAAGAAACTCTGTCTGATCCTGTACTATCCCTACAATCTCTGCTGTGTTTTAAGCTCACTGTTAGTTATTCTGTCAATCCAATCAAAGGACAAAGGGTAACCTGACATCCAGCTCCTGGATCAAGTCATGTATATTATCTAAATGCATCATGGGTGATGGAAAGAGGCATATCTGCAATGTTGTTATCCTGGCAAGGACTCCAAAGACGAGAGCTGGAAGGACAGCTGAGGTCCAGGTCCCATGTCCCAAAGAGGAATGGGACAGCAGAGGCTCTTTTGCAGTTCTGTCAGGCTCAAGGAAGGACACCAGGCTTTCCTGGCCCTTCTTAATGTACCTTTGCTCCTTAGAAACCATGTTCCCTGCTCTAGAAGCCCCTCTCCCATAAGAAGTCACTTTCTTCCTCTTTACTAATAAATCCAACCAATACCATTCCTTACATTTACATTTCCTTGGCTTTTCCCTTCAACCTCTTAGCTTTCTTGTTTCTCCAGCTTTTGCTCTCAGCCCATTTTAAAGTTCCTCTTCATCCTCCCAACTGATGTCCCACATGTTCTTTCCTCTCTCTCTTTCTCTGCTTTCTCTTTGGATCCCTTAAGGAGATTCTTTTTATACCATTACAGGCCATGGTCTTTTCAATCACTTGCTATGCATCTGAGAGCTGGACAGTGGATAAGGATGACAGAAGAATTGATGCCTTTGAGCTGTGGTGCTGGAGAAGAGTGCTGAGTATCCCATGGACTTCCAAAGGAATAAACAGGTCTTGGAGAAGGTAGAGCCAGGGTGTTTCTTGGAGGCAAAGATGAGAAAGCTCTGTCTCACATACTTTGGGCATGCTGCTAGGAGAGACTATTCCTTGCAGAGGGACATCAAGAAGATGGTCAATCAGATGAATTGACACAGTGACTCCTGCAATGGACTCAAATGTGTCAGGGATGGTGAAGGCACAAAATAAGACAAGGTTCACAGGGTTGCTATGAGTCATACTTGACAACAACAACAACAGAATAATGATTCCTCAGATCTTTATATTCAGCATACCTCTCTTTCTAAACTTCAAAGTCAATATTGCTCACAGTCTATTTGGATATTTCACAAACATAACAAGCCCACCATCTCTCCCAAACATATTTCTCTTCCCATGTTCCCTGTCACCATGAATACTATCACCACAATCGAGCCAGGTCTTCAAGCATGAAGTTCTGTAATCATTCAGACTCCACTTTCCTTAATTTCCAAAATCCATTCAATTACCTGGCCCTGTTTAAGTGGAAACTCTATTCCCTTTTCTGATTTGCTTACCTGATTCAGACCACCACCCTCTGTCATCTGGCTCACTGTTAAGAGTTTTCTAACTTGTCTCTCTGCCACCAGTCTTGCTTCCATCTTATCTGCTGCCCACACTGGAGTCAAAGCCATCCTTTGAAAATTCAAGACTCATCATGGGCTGGCTCTACTGAAAGCCCTTCTCAAGCTAAACTTTCCAGGCAAACAGAATGCCTTCAGTTCCCCAACAGCTCCATGGTCTCTCAATTCTCTCTGCTTCTTGGCATGTGGTACTCTGTATACCCAGTATATGATGGTTTTGGATTTCTGCTTGTCCTTGTTAATCGTTCCTTGTTCTACAGGATTCAGCTTGGATATCACTGCTCTGGGAAGTCTGACTTCCCCAGCCTGTGGTAAAAGTGTGGCTTTCTGGAGAATTTTGTTTATTATAACACTGTATTCTGTGAAGGCCTAATCAGGCTATTCGAGGGTCGGAACGGTATTTTATTCTTTGTGTATCTCAGATGCCTTTTATACAAGGTCTGGTACATAGTAGGTTATCAGAAGTGTCAATGAATAAAAGAAATACTGGAGTATCTGCCCCCAATAACATGGGCCCAAGGGACAGGTGGGAAAGTACCAAACTCCAGCTATCCTACTCAGCTGTTGTAGTGGTTCTAGAAGTTCTCAGGTATAAAGCCCAAGACTGGTATGCATCTCTGCCACCTTGAATAAATGACAAGACCAAAACCAAGGACAAGCCCTCTGGTAGTCAGCAGAAGTCTCAACACTGGACAGCTGGTGTGAGCAAATAAAAGGGAAAAGATCATTTTGGCTGTTTGGCAGAATAAAGACTTCAGGAAGATTGGTAAGAAGCGGAAGCGGGGGGGGGCGGGGGAGAAACCTCAGCATCCAGGACAGTGGTTTCACAGGGATTTTTGATGAGCAGCAAATGTCTGATGAAGTCTACTATGTGAGAAACACTGTGGTGGTGCCTGGGCAGAGCATTTGTACCCACATTTTGCCCCTGCTGGGCACAGAGTATTTACCTGTTGGGTCCTCCAAGCAGGGTAAGTGCCATCTGACTGGCACAGATACCTGTCATCTCCAGTCTTCGCTCCAAAGTCAATCCATGCTTCTCAGCCACAGACAACAGCTTTTTATGCAGCTCATAGGAAACACTTGGGACAACCAGGCCAGAGTCTGCAGTCCAAAAGGTAAGAAAGAGAAAATAATTATGGGAAATTGAGTCCAAAACCGTATTTGCTCTCTTTAGGATTCTATGAAAGCCTACCTTTAAGTCTGATCCTCCACACCCATGTTTATTGCGACTTTGTTTGCAATAGCAAAGAGGTGGAAAAAACCCAGGTGCCCATCAACAAACAAATGGATAGAGAAGCTCTGGTATATTCACACAATGGAATACTATGCAGCATTGAAAAACAAGGAACTCAAACTCATGAAATATTATGCAAAATGGATGACTCTGGAGGACATTATGCTGAGTGAAATATCTCAGTCACAAAAGGACAAGTATTGCATAGGGCCACTGTTGTAAAATGGGACTAACTTCAGGGTTGAGAGAAGACAGAAAAGGAGGGGAGGACTGATGTATATTCCATTGAAATAGATGCGGGAGAGAAATGTTTAAAAGGGACATATGAATGGGTATTCTTGTCATTACAGAAGTCCAGACTAAAGGCTATATAGTGGAGTGGACTTGCAGGGGAGGGATTGGATAACAATCAAAGTTTTTCTTTTGCTTTTCAAGGAGAAGAGGGTATTGGGGGGATGGGAGAGGTAGGGAGAAAAGTACAGCAATGAATGACTGGAAACCCTAAGTCTCTGTAAACTCTCATTATGTTGTTGTTGTTATGTGCCGTCGAGTCGTTTTCGACTCATAGCGACCCTATGCACAACAGCCCTAAACCCTGCTCTATCCTGCGCCAACCGCACCGCCTCTGACACACCCATCCCGATTACCCCAGTCACCGAATCAATCCATCTCATAGAGGGTCTTCCCCTCCTGCGCTGTCCCTCCACCCTCCCAAGCATGATGTCCCTCTCCAAGGACCTCCTTGCAACGTGTCCAAAGTATGTCAGACGAAGCCCCAGAATCCTTGCCTCCAAGGAGTAGCTTGGTTTAATCCTCTCCAAGATGAATCTGTTTGTTTTCCTGGCAGTCCATGGTACATTCAGTACTCTTCTCCAGCACCACAACTCAAAAGCATCCACTCTCCTTCTGTCCTCCCTAGTCACTGTCCAACTCTCTGATGCATAACAAGCGATTGCAAAGACCATGGCCTCTATCAGGCACATCTTATAATTAATTAAAAAAAAAAAAGACTGATCCTCATCTAGTTCACCCATCCTCCTAATCTGGTCTGAGTATTCTCCGCATCCCTCCCGAATTTAAGTGGAGCATGGGTAAATGTCAATTCCTTTAGCTGTTAGCTCCACAATGATAGCCAAATTTCCCATGACATGTTCTGAAACACCAAGGAAAAAAATGTATTTAATGGAAGCCCACCAATTACATTACAAAAGAACATACTTGCCATCCTCGGCAATGATGCTTTCCTCACAAGCTGGCCCTGATCCTTTCCAAGAAGTGAGACAGACACTAGCTTGACCCTCTGACTTAGTGGTAAGGAATGGAGCTGCCAATGCAAAGGTATGCAGTTTGAATTCACCAGCTGCTGCTCTGTGGGAGCAAGATGTGCAATCTCCTGCTGTGTGATTTACTCCCTCACCCACTGGAGAGTCAGCTATGGGTCGGTTCTGACTCAATGGTACACACATCATCTTAAGATGACTTGTTTACTCCACCTGCTTCCTATTTCCTCTTCCTTTCTACTAAGTCCTTCCTCTTTGCCTAAGAAATCCAGCAAACAACTTACTCAAGTAATTTCTCGTTTCTTCATAATTTGAGTGTAACCTAAAACTCTAAGAGGGAAAGATTTTACATAAAGTCACTTATAGCTTGCTTTTAATAAGCTATTCAGAACAATATGAAACATTTTTTTATTCGCTAATAAGTGGCATCCACTTCCTAAATAACATGCCTCTGGAAACTCCATGAACTCTGATAAATGTCAATAAGTTGTAGAGGCTTCAGGCCTTTTGTTCATAGGGTCACTATGAGTTGTATTTGACTCGAAGACAATCAAAAACAACAACATAATTAATAAGAACCCTATAAAGATTGGGAAGACTGTAATTAATAGTATGCTATGGAAAGTACCTGCTTTTCCTAGACTCAATGCCAAAGTCTACAACAGCTTATATACTTTAAGAAATATATAACAGAATGAAGGGGAAAGAAAGGCATATCGATTGTACCAAGTGCTGGAAAAACCAGACCAGGTGCAAAAATAGCAGAGTCAAGAACTGTGATCTTGTCTTTGCCTCTGGCCGCTGCATTGAGAGGAGCTGCTGCCATGTCTGTCCATCTGCAAGGGATGGTCATGTGTAACTACTCGAGCTTCTTGGTTGGGTGAGTACTCTTCCTCTTCATCCTCACCAGCTTCAGTAACTTCAGCACTGAGCCCAGTAACCTCAAAGCATGCAACTCTTTTCACAATGGGCTGATCCATTGCAAGACCATGAACATGGAGCCAGCCCCTGACAACAAGGAGGTTATGGCGGGGATGAAGTGGAGGTCAGGCAGAGGAAGCCAGGCACTACCTCTGTGCGGACCACCATTCATAAGGAGGTCCGGGCCAGGCTCAGCTGCACCCAGCACATGATCCACAAGAACAAATACAGGCCCGACCTGGGCATGGCCCCCTCCACAGGGTCAGCGCCATTCTCCGCTGAAGCTGGTGATGGTGAAGAGTACTCAACCCACCAAGAGGTCCTGAGACCTGCGAGCAATAAAGACAGTTCATCTCAAAGAAACCAAATCCCCCAGTAATCTCTAAGAGCCAGCTTTTTCCTAACAATGGGACCTCCACTGTAGTTTTATAGAGTTCTGTACAGAAGAACCTATCCTCCTCACTGGTCATTTCAGGGAGAAATTTCGTGAGGTACTATCAAACCTGATTTTTTTGTTGTTGTTATATCCCATCAAGTTGCCTGAGACTAATAGCTCTGAACTCTGTCCTTTCCTGAGCCAATCTTACTTTCTCTGACACACCTACTCCATTATCCCTGTTACTGTGTCAATCTGTATCATTTGGGGTCTTCCTCTCCTGCACTGTCTCTCCACCTTTCCAAGAATGACATCCTTCTCCAAGGGGCTGTTCCCTCCTGGTAACATGCCCAAAGTATGTAAGACAGAGCTTTAAAATCTTAATCTCTAAGGAGCTGCTTGGTTTCACCCTCTCCAGGAGAGATAAGTTTGTTCTCTTGGCAGTCCATAGTATGGTCAATACTCTTCTCCAAAACTACAACTCAAAGGCATCAATTTTTCTTTTACATCCTTAGTCACTGTCCAACTCTCTGATGCATGGCGAGTAATTGTGAAGATGACAACCTGGATCAGGCACACTTTTAGCCTCCAGGCTGACACTTTTGCTCTTTAGTACTCTGGAGAGTTTCCTGACAACAGATTTTCCTAATGCAATTTGTTTTTTGATATCCTGACTGCTGGTGCCATGAGTATTGATCATGGAACCGAGCAAGCTGAAACTGTTAACAACCTCAATCTCTTGGCCCAGTGGTGGGATCTTTGTATTCTTGATGTTAAGCTTCAAGCCATATTGAAGACTACAGTCCTTGATCTTTTGCAGCAAATGCTTCAGGTTTTCCTCGGTTTTAGCAAGCAAGGTAGTATCATCTATGTAATGAAGGTTGTTGATGAGTTTTCCTCCATACTCCTCATGAAGTCCAACCTCTCAAATGATCTGTTTCGAATACAGATGGAAAAGGTATGGAGACAGGATGCAAATCTAATGCACACGTTCCCTAATTTTGAACCATGCAGTGTTTCCTTGCTCTGTTCTGATGACTGCCTCCTGGGTCAAGTACAGGCTTCGCATGAGCCCTATCAGGTGTTCTGGAATTCCCATTCTTCTCATGATTAACCATAATTTGTTGTGTCCACACAGTCAAATGCCTTTGCATAGTCAATGAAGCACAGACAGACATTCCTCTGGTGTTCTCTGCTTTCAGGTAAGATATCTGAAATTGGCTATAATATCACTAGGGCCATGGCCTCTGACTATATGTACCCTTTAAAATCACACAGGATGGGCTTCCTCCATGACTTCTTTTCAAAGGAGTAAGGTCTGTCCTGTCCTGTTCTTTGGGAGTAACTTTCTAATAAATCTTTACTTTTCACCTTCACTTCTGCCTCCTTTCTTCTGAGTCTAATGCTCTATCAAAAGCTTTGGTCTATATTTCAGTGCTCTGTGCAATAAAGTCTGCTTTCTCCCAAGAAACACTTGAATTGCTGTACACTGTGCTACCCTGGCACTTGGGCACAGTTGCCTCCTTTAGTCTCTTCTGCCTGGCAAATTCTTTTGTTTGAGTGGGAAAAATGAACTAAAGCAATAACCTCACAGTAACATTTTAGCACTGAAACAAAAAAAACAAAACCAAACCCCAAAACCCAAAAACAGGACAGCCATACATTGTGACAACAGGAACTCGGGTACAAAGGCTGAACATACAGCACTCAAGTTTGTACCTTCTCTCAGGAGAAGGTAGAATAATATCATCATGAGATAATAAAAATGTTTACACATCAAAGGAAATCATTATCCTGTTAGTTAATTGTACCCCTTTATTTGTCCAGTTCTAGTCTCAACTAGGGAAGAGGCAACAAAGCCATCAGGAGCGCCAAGACTGTCTTCCCACCCCTTATGGAAGGATCAGTCACTGGTGTCCCAGGTGCCAGTGCTGGAGGCTGCAGTTTGACCTTGCATGTCAATAGCTCATTAAAACTGCCATTTTTATGGCTGGCTTCAGACACGCACATATTATCAGAACTAATTAGGGACTGTTGATAGCAGTGTGAAGAACCTGAAGAAATTCTCAGGAATCTCAAGCCACTAACTTTAAACCTGTCAGACAGGTCACGCACAGCTCAATTCAAACAACCTCTTTGCCTGCAAAGTCACACAAGGTAGAACTTTTATTCTAGTCTCTGCATTTCTTCATCTATATATCAGTTCTTTTTGTTGAAATTGAAACTAGCCATGGTGGTCAGTCTTTCTGGGCCCAACTCTTGTCCTCTGTGGACAGGAACCCTTGATTCT